AATAACTGAGGTCATAAACATGATCGGTGCTGAATAAGCCTTTCCTTGCCTGGAGACCTTTGTATTTGTGATCAGCAATAAAAGGCTGTATTGGAATTTAAAATCTCAGCTAGGTAAAATGCCAGAGATGATTATTTAAAGGCTTTAAATCAAAAAAGCTGGCTGTAAGAATCAGCTTTTCACATTCATATTGTATGGATGTGGATTCCTACCTCAGTAATGAAGGAAGCCCCAAATAAGATGAGACATAATAAAACACAAGCTAGGCTTAAGCAAGGATTGTTTTTTGACAATATTTCTCAACGTTTTAAATACTAGCTGCATATCCACATATTTGCAAGATTTTAATTGCACGATTTCCAGTGATTTAACAGTGAAAATTAACAGTTTTAACAGTTAACAGATTTAACAAAAATTTACATATTTCCATGCTCAGAATTTGAGAAGCTAAGACAATGAGAAATTTAGGTTTACACAAACAAAGAAAAGAAAATCAAAGAAAACTTTTAATTTTTTTCTTAAGTAAATCACTAGCTGCAAAGATGACTGTCATCTTACATGTCCTGAATTTATCTTGGATGTCCAAGCTCTTTTGCTATGAATTCCTTTCTATGCTGCATTTCTGTGATCCCAATTTTAATTCATAGAGAACAACAGAGAAACAGGATAAACTAAAGAAGAAAAAAATGCCAGAAATGTCTTATTTTTACATGCATGCAACCACTGAAAAATAAAGCTCAAAATGAAAGAGTGGGCCAGAACCTCAGACGAGACAAAGCAGCACTGGGAGTGAAGGATACGGATCAGCAAGGAATGACAAGGAGCTTGGACTGTATGGACATGGGGATAGTGTGGTAAGTGGAGCACGAAGGGCTATACATGCATTCATGCACTTCGGAAGACTTGAGTTTCTGCAAATAAGAAGCAGAGGGCACTCTGAAGACTGAAGTCTTCAGCAATGTCACTGTTCACAGACATAATCTTCATCTGTGGACGTGTGGTTAAATCAATATCCAATTGTTATACATAACAGCATGCTCTCTTAGAAAGAAGACATTGCACTGCTAATTCCAGATAAGTAAAGTCTGGCTTTACTGGGTTTTCTTCTGGAGAATTATCCCACTCAAGTTTATCTTTCATAAATGCTGACACAAGCTACAAGGACTTAATATTATTTCATAAACAAATTTTTTTCTTTTCTTTCTTTTGCTTCTTTATTCCAAATTATACCCACAGGTCTGACTGATACTTTCAATTGGAACAACAGGCAGCCAGACAAGAACAGTGTAAGAAACTTTATCTTAAGTATTTATTGTTATGCTAGAATATCACTCAGTTTCCTCTGGGGTAATTCGGCACTCCTGTGGGAAATATGTGACCTCATTTGCATTTTCTAATTGAATTGCTATCAGGTTTCCTGCAAGACTGAACAAAAAAAGTTCCTAGACTTACTAACACCACTTGTATTAACCAAAAAGTTTACCTTCAAATGCTTTCTGGGGAGGAAAGGAAAATGTATGCTTCATGTATCATAAAATGTGTTTTTAAATATTTACGTTCTTTGCCATGATTTCATCCTATTAGCATTAAACTTTACTGTAGTCATTGGATTTTATTTTATTTTTTTAAAGCAGTTGCCAGAGAAAATTTGCAGATTTGCCCAGGTTATTCAGTTATTCAGTGCAATTAGCACATTTATTACGCCAACATTAAGAAGCAGAGGAAGCTGTCACTGTATTGGGTCACTTGCCATCAAAATGCCAGCTTGCACCCAGAATAACTGCACAGCTGTGGAATCTGAGGCACAGGCACAAACACTGATTTTGCAATGAAAGCACCCCAGGGGATTCCTATCCTGACAGAAGCTACCCTGAACTGATTTGCTACTCACCCTGAGGACATGCTGGCCACCAGCAAAGCTCTCCAAACCTGCTATGTGAATTTCCTTTCTTAGATACAGTGATAATAAAGGACCACAAACACAAAGTATCGCGTTCTTGAGGGTCTTCTCATCTGAGCCCTCCTGGGAAGTAGGCTGCTTTTTGCAGGCAGGCTATGGAAGACAAGGCTTGGTCCTTCAGGACACACTGTGAATTTGCAGTAGAGCAGGGACCTTGCTTCTGAGCCCCCAATAACCTTGGCTGCTACCTCAACAATATCAACTTCTATAGCATTTGCTCCGTACTAACCATTTTACTCTGTACTAACCTCCACAAGAAGCCAAATGTATAATAAGGGCCTTTCAAGGTGTGATGATCATATATTCTTGAAGCTTTAATCCATAGAAAATCATAAACTAAATTCAGATTTGGCCTTTCAATGATGATTCAGGAAGGAGAAGAGGAGCAGCAAGATTTCCTGGTGCAGTGAGGCTGCCCCAGCTGAGGGCTGCCAGTCACGGAGAAGCACCCTGAAACACAGATGCTGGGCGAGCGAGCCAGAAGGACTTGTTTGTGCTGTAGGTGCCAGCAAACAGAGATCACTAGGTGCAGTAAGGCAGATTTCATGCCAATTATTTTTAATGTCTGGGAGCTGTTTAGCATTTTCACAAAATCAGTCACATATTTACCAAGTAAAATGGAAACGGATGCACGCACTAGAACAAAGAGTTGGTCTCTCTCCCTCTCTCGTTACCTCCTCCTTTCTCTCTTGCATTTGCCATCTCCATATCCTTAATATACCACAATAGTGTGAAAAGTCTTTAAAACAATGATGTAGTTACGCTTGAGTCATATTATACCTTACAAAAACAAATGTGAATTCTGTTTCTAGTAAAAGCCATGAAATGTAGTATATTAGGGTCACGGCCTGAAACATATTATACTGGATATTGTAGTTTTGTTTTGTTTTTAGCATAAACACTATTATTTTTGAAATAAACTCATAATCATATTTATTTCTTTAGTAAACAAAGGATTATTTTGTTGGCAAAAAAGCACAAGCATTTAAATAAAATAGAAGTCAAATGCCTGCTATAGGAACCCACAATAAAACTCCTTGTGACCTTGTCATTAGTCTTGTTTTCTATATTTTTTCAGCCTCAAACTACACACTAATAAGGCTTTTAGAAAGGAGGGATATGAATTTTAAAAAGCTTAACGCTCTCTATTTTGAACCAGAGTTCAGCTTATATTAACATTAGATGAGTGTTGAACCAAATATTTTACTAAAGCAGAAATGTGTACTTACTCAGTTTTCTTTCTGCTACAAGAAGAAATTTAAAGCAGTATATAAGACACCTTACTTTGTGCCTTCAATATTTAATTACTTTTAGAGGGAAGCAGTATTTCTTTGGTTAGAAAACAGCAAATACAGCTGACATAATATACAGGGCTTAGCTCTATCTTGCACAAGCCAGACTTTTACTGAAGAGCAGCAGAAATGTATTTATATGACTCTAAGCCATGCAAAACCTCAGGGGTCAGCCCACCGGGTGACTAATAGATTTAAGCCTCTCCAAGTCTTTTCCATCTTGTCTCACACGTGATAAAAAATTTCCCAAATGTTGCAAACTGTCACGTTGCAGCATTCTTACAATAAGACACAAAAAACCTCTCTCATTCTTTCCCCTCTTCTGCCCTCTCTGCCCAAGCGCTACAGCAAAGAGGAGAGGAGGGGGGAGGCCAATCTTGCTATTTGACAGCCACCACCGTGCATTAATCCAGTCTACAGCCACAGCCAAGTGGCTCTGCCTGTCCATTCCCAGGTGACATCCACCTTCACCCTTGCTCTGCAAGGTCTTCAAGATCCAGCAATAAATCAGGCTCCTCAGCCAATTTCCTGCCAAATTTATGCTAAAGGTAACCCCAACTATAACAATGTGTTTAAGCAGTTTAAGCATAACTGCCCAACCATCAAAGTTTTTTTTTTTTTTTTTTAACAGGCAGCAGACAGCATAACCATGTTTACTCAGTGTCACACATGATCTTCAGCCCAGACTAACATTGAAAATGAAGGAGAACTGCTGCTGAAGATAATATGGAAGAGGTAGGCCAGAGACAGCTATGCAAGGAGCAGAGCAGAAGAAATGTGTTTTTGTGGAGCAGTCCCTGATTTCATTGCCACCGTGCAGCCCACGGCTGTATTTAAGTGAAGCAATATTGCTGTCAGATTGCTGGGCAGGGACAGATCCTTCCTGCTTTTGAGCTATGTGTATGAAACTAAGAAAGCAAGCAAGCACTGATAAACTCCTGTCTGAAACACAGAATGGTGCAGGCTTTGGAGCTGGTGTTGATTCCAGCTGTGAAGGGAGAACGCTGGCACTGAGCGGAGGGGATGTTTGCCACTGCGGTGCCACGTTGTGTGTCGCTGCCCTGCTGGTGCTCACAGCCTGTGAGCAAATGTCCCTTAGCAGGCAGCAGCAATGCTCCCTGTCCTTGCTGCTCTGGAAGAAAACAAGCCCAGATCTCCATCTGGAAGCCCTGCCTGGGTGCACGCATCACCCCTGAGGAGCTGCAGGACCATGCAGAGTGCTCGTGGAGAGCAATGAGGCACTGTGAAAGCTGGGGAGATGTCTGCAGCGCAGCAGAAGCAGACAGTGCATGACTCCAGGACTACACTGTCACAAAGAAATCTGAATTTAACCTTGTGTTTTTCAAGATTATGGTTGACTTGGCCTCTGGAGAGAGAGAGAGGCACCTTCTGTCTGCAGGTTTTATTTCAAGTTGAGGTAGAGTATTAGCAATGAGAAGCAAACACAAGGTATATAATAGCATATACCTGCAGTACATAACAGATCCAAGTGGTTATTTAAATATACAAAAGTATGAGCTTAGAGAATGCTTCCCCACTGGCAACCTAAAATCATTTACATCAGGGAAGATCAAAGAATATTTGCATGAAATTTGCTGCTGCTTGTGCCATTTTCTACCTGGACACATGCCCTGGAAGCATAGACCAGATGACACAAACAATCCTATGCCGAATGTTACTTTTAAAGGCTTATGGAACAGAGGCAAACGAAGAACGAAATAGGAAAACGATTTCTGAAAATATCTTACCTTGTGTCCATTGTGTTGCAACTTCTCTCCCACCAGAAACCTGATGATTGCCTCCCATCTGCCCAGGGTCTGGGGATCCCAGGCGGTCACCATCAGGATCATCTGCTTTGAGGGCATTTGCACCTGGTGGACAGCATACATGGTCCCATCTGCTCTCACCTTGAAGTCCAAGCTGTTGGTTTCATACTGAACTCCCTTGTTACCGGCACAGTTATTAAATTTTACTAGAACAGAGAGCAAGAGATGGAAGAAACGTGTGAGATTGGCGTGATAAGAAAAGCAATCAAATACAAGTTTCAGACATTTAATTTTCACTGATGTCTTCTATATCTCTAATAACCATCAAGGAAATGATTTAACTGTTTCTTCGACCTTTCAGGAGTGCTCTTGTGCTTTATCTCCATTCCCAGGGGAAGAAGTTGTAAGCCATTTTTAAAGTATTTGATACAGTTTCATTAGATCTCAAACACAGCTGTTCCCCATTTCTACAAGTGGATTTCTCCCTTGTTGCCATTATCTTTTAAATTCGACTGGAGTCTATTACCCACACTGTGGGTATTTTTTTGCACGAAATGTTCTCCATTTCCCTAACCCTTCAATAACCTACTTACCAGATAGCCTATTTGCACATTCTTAACTGAAATTTAAAAGCCCAGAACAATTCCATTATCAGAAATATAGAGGCAAAAAAAATTACATGAAGAAAAATTAAAACAATTTTGGGGAGCGCATCCACTGCTGGAAGCAGGTACCCACAACCAGAGCTCCCATCCCACCCTGGCTGACCACTCCGTACATTACAGCTACAGCAAAGAGGAACTGTAAAACTTTGCTTCACAAACCACAACTCGTCATTTAAAAGCATACACTGTCGGATCCAAGCTCCCCAATGGCTGGTATTTTTATTTTTGGCGTTTTTCGGTCAAATTCATTTACAGTCTAGTTTGAAAACTGTTTTTATTGGCATTATGAAGCATGTCACATACATTAGGCTGGAAAAAAACCAAACTATTGTATGACAAAATTGACAAATCTGATAGAAATTGAACCTGCAGCTAATCACATAGGAAACAAAACACTTTCTGCCATTCAACTAATCCACGGGGTGGAACACACATGTGGTGAAAGAAAACATATTGTACCCGTAAAAATATCTCAAGTGAGTGTGAATGGATATACAGCTTCCTAGCTAGTCCTGTTACATGGGCTCTGTAACGCTGCAATTTCCGAGAGCTTTGCAGCAATGCTCCAAGATAAGGAATACCATCTAGCCCAGGTTTGATGTTGCCTTGGCAGGCACTTTGCAGAAGAAAAGCGAGGTAAGATGAGTCCTGCTTAGACTGGCTGTGGTGGGAGAAGGGATGCAGAGGCAATACAGGCTAGAGGAGCTCCTGGGGCCAGTTTGACCCCAGCCATCTCTTTCTCCCTGTTCCATAGCTGACTGCTTGTGCAGTGCTGCTTTGAGCTGAATCAGGGACTAATCTGGATTTAAAGGAAAACACCCAGGGGATGCCAAAGGGGAAAGAAAAAGGAGCGAGGAAACTGCTAACTGAAAAGCCCCCAGTATCACCATGCCATAGAGAAGTGAGAGGAGCAGATTGTGGTGGAACTTCTTCCCATAACTGGGGTGCTGTGATCATGCCATAACCATACATCTACAAAGGCTTTTTCAGGCTCTGTATTTATTTAAGCCACATTAGTACTTCTTTATGTGTGTAAATATATATATATTATAGCATATAATATATATATATAATAGTAAATTATTCAGCACAAAGTAACTGTCACACACTGATTTACAAAAAAAAAAGATGGCTAATATTACCTAGTATATAAAAAAAAAGTGTGGGTAATGCTTTTAAGCAATTTCATCGTTTTAGACTACAGCTCTAGATTCTGGAAAGCCAAGGAAAACAAAAGTCCCTTAGTTTTGTTTTGGAAATCAAAACTGCCTGTCTTTATCTTTCACTGTCATTCAGCCTGTAATAAATAACCTCCATGTCTATCTCATCTGAAATGCTTTAGTCCAGACATTTGACCAGTTATCTCTGCTTTCTATCTCCAGAAGCATAACAAATGGTTTTCGGTGTAATAGGAAGCAGCATCTCCTGCATTACTCACAGTCTGAATGAAACATTGGCCACCATTGTTGTAAGGGACAGGATATAACTTAATTGCCACTTTGACCACAGTTTGAAGCTCTTGGCATCTTGCTTTTAGTCAGTGAGTGTCAGAGCAAGGTGCAGATAGAAGACTGCAGATTCAGCAATCTGGAGTGGAGGATTTCTGTCTTATGAAGGTGAGACTTCCACCAAGCTCAATAAAGAAAGAAGAAAGCTTTCATGGTTCCCAGAGCAGCTAAAAATCATCTCAAACTTCAAAGTTCATGTATACAACTTGAAGCAAAACTTTAAAAAGTTTTATGACTCTGTGCTGAGGCTTCAAACTTCAGCACTGCCAGAGCTGGAGCTCAGGCCCCTCTCGAATTTTCACATGCCATGAAATGCATGGGCCAAACCCAACTGGTGCCAATGACCACCAGTCCACACAAGTCAGTGCTCTGCCTTGAGGTCAACTGGCACACAACGGCTCATCTCCAGTACATCAAAACTTCTTATCTCTATTACTTCTAAATGATTGACTGAGAATAACGCATGGACCACATTAACTCCAAAACTCTGCTGTGCTATCATTGACCTGACCATAGGGACAATCCCAGGTCAGTGCGCAGACCTGTGCCGGTACTCACTCTAACAGTAAAAACACAGCCAACAAGCCTGTCCATTGCCTTCATTTAGTTTAGACTAGCCTGAAATATAGCAACTCATGAAACACTGAAGGTCACACACAGAGTCACTGGCAGCTGCAAGAACCAGCACTGGACACCTGGAGCAGCTGTGACGGCCTCAGAGACCCACGAGGTGGCTGATATCAGCAGGGAAGGTCTCAGCACCCCTTGAGACCACCCTGTTGCACTTCATCTATCAGGAACTTCTGAAAATCTCCCTTGCATTCACAGCTATAACAAACATGTGCGAACACACTGAGTGCTTCGCTGCTAATGCGTTATTTATTTTCAGCTCCATGCCATCAGCATTATTAGAAAGAAGGTACATCAATTGGCCTATTATTGCACTCTTCTGTTATATAATGGCAGTGCAAAAAAGCGACTTCTATCTATACCTCCTGAAGTACCAACATATCATATAAGAAAAGACATTTGAAGAAGAGAGAAAGGAGTGATAATGACTGCACATTAAAAACAATTCAGAGCTTACTTTGATTTTATTGAGATTAAAAGAAAGCCCCACAGTGTACCAGTAGTCTGAGAGAAAAAAATAAAATAAATCCCTTCCTATACATGTATGTAGTGATTTCAGGACTCAAAGTACTTAAACATCTGCTTAAGACACAGCGCATTGCTCCAATATGCTGCTCTGGTGTCATATGTCACTGTGTCGACTTTTATGCTCCATTATCTAAAAATGGCTACCTCTTAGACAAAGTCCCTCTGTGCCTTGCTAATTACTTCCATTAGTTTAAAACAAACTTGACTAGAGACAGAGAAAATCCTGAGAGAAATTAAGTTTAATTTTTTAAACAAGCAACATGTCTGTTCCACATTGCTCTTCCCAGGTAGCACAGGTAGATGAATGCTCGGCAATAAATCAGACACAGCCAGCTCCTCCGAAGAGGCTTTAGGAGCTGAAAGCACAGGAAGCTTTCAGGGACACAGGAATTCTATAACACTTAGTCACTGCTGGGGACTGCACCTCACACGATGGCCTGGAAGGCAGCGAATAGGCCGCGGCTCACCCAAGTGGCACCCCACAAGCTGCATGGAGGAACTCTGGGGACATATGTGGCAGTATGAAAGTGTTTTAAAGCCAGGCCAGGTGACGTGGCATGTCCCGCAGTGCTGTCCCAGGCCTCGCTGCTACTACAAAAGCCAGGTAGGAGCTCGATACTGCTACAATTCAACCTCTCCGTGATGAAATGCACCGACGCTTTTGTGACAAGTTTTTGACTAATCGATGCACCATGACAGGCAGCAATTTATGTTCTCAATTAGATGATACACGATTGCATGTCAGAAAAAAATGCTTTAATAAATCAGTGCAGAAAGCCTAGGCTGATCCCCTGCCGCACCCCTGTGGGTGCTGCTATTCTCACTGCTGAGGCCCTGCAACCACAGTGGCCATGGGTGAACGCACCTTTGGTGGCTCCGAGGACACCACCACTGATCTCCAAAGCATCTCTCACAACAATGAAAACTAGATATGGCTCTCAGAAAACCCCACTGTACATTAGTACCACCTGAAATCTTCAATTAACTGCTGAATCCCTGTGACTGCCAGGTGATGTACAAAACTCAGCACTAAATTCAAATAAAAACTTCCACTATTCCACCAGTAAAGACCCTGCCACACTCCCAGGACATACTGCAAAACACACAGTCATTCATTGTCTTGTGTAAGGGAGTACAATAAATGCCTCAAAAATTGCTAATCATCCTTCGAACTAAGCCCTCTGCTTTCCCTCAGTTTGAGGCAAGGCAGCTGTGGGGGACGTCCACAAACAGATCTCAATGCAAATGTTCTCCTACAGCCACTACTAATAAGAGAGCTTAACTTTGCAGATCACTTCAACCACAGAGGGAAGACAATTCAGAAACTCATCAGGGCCTGAATATTAGGGACCACCACGTTGAGCTGCTGTTAGGTACCGCTGCTGCTATTGCTCTAGGCACCATTTGTACACAGCACAGATGCAGTAAAGATGAACTGCTCACATTTTCACAACATGGTTGCAAGGACTGCCATTAGTAATCCTATGCTCATCCTCCTTGTTTCCCTGTGAAAATGATTCTTTGGAATGTTACATGACTACTAGGAATCAGTTTTTATATGTATACACACACACATATGTATTTTTCTATGGATATACATATAGAATCACATATTTAATATTTTTTTTCAAATATTTGTGTATACATTTGGAAAAAACGTTGTTCTGTACTAAACAGCATAACTCAAGGAAAGGAGGCGTCTTCCATATTTTCAAATTCCACCTCACCTCTACTCTATGCTCTCATCAAGACAAAAACTAAAATTTCATTCAATGGCAGAAAATCATTTTTTTAAATTCATCTAGAAAGCTGTAAATCTATGCAATTTGCAGTTGATGCAACTCTTGACTTTAAAATAATTTAATAAATAAACAA